TCCTGATGTGCATATCAACCAAATAACTGCTGCAGCATACGGGCACCTAGCAAACTTAGGAACAGCATTTTGACAACTCAATAAGGATTTGTTCAGGACCCTGTACACCGTGTAAGTTAGGCCTATATTGGAGTATGCAGCACCAGGTGGAACCCACACCTAGCCAAGCCCATAAGGAAACTAGAGAAAGTGCAAAGGTTTGCAACAAGACTAGTCCTGGGGCTAAGGGGCATGTCCTATGAGGAGAGGTTAAAGGAAATTGACCTGACGACACTGGAGGACAGGAGAGATAAGGGTGATATGATAATAACATAAAATACTGAGAGAAATCGACAAGGTGGACAGGGACAGAATGTTCAAGAGATGGGACACAGCAACAAGGGGTCACAGTTGGAAGTTGAAGACTCAGATGAATCACAGGAATGTTAGGAGGTATTTCTTCAGTCACAGAGTTCTCAGGAAGTGGAATAGTCTGGGAAGTGATGTAGTGGAGGCAGGATCCATGCATAACTTTAAGAAGAGGTATGATAAAGCTCATAGAGCAGGAAGAGTGACCTAGTAGTGACCAGTAAAGAGGCAGGGCCAGGAGCTGTTAATCAATCCCTGCAACCACAACTAGGTGAGTACAACTAAGTGAGTACATGCACTCACTAGCGAACACTCATCAGAAACGACCACACAAAAACACATATGTTGTTCTTGTGATGATAAAAAAATGGGTCGTCAAAGAGCAGGACAGAGAACCAGGAAACTGGTGGATGAGCCTAGGAGGGAAGACTGGGTGGCATAGCTCACGAAAAGGGAAGAAGAGTGGGGTAGGAAGCTAGAAGAGCTCAGCAAGAAAATGGAGTAGAGGATAGCTGCAGAGAGCAGGAAATAGGAGCTTCAAGCCACAGCAGCAGAAGCTAAGATACAGAGTTTAGATGAGGAACTGAAGATTCTGAAACAGTCCAATGGAACCAAAGAGCAGAACGGGATTGACATGAGGAAATGCTACATCAGTCACAGATGAAGGGATTGTAGGGAACACACAAGTTATACTGTATACAGAGGCCCTATCAGACCACCGTGGAGCTTGGGAATAGGCGAGGAGCACACCAGGAATAAACAAAGGGACTGAAAAAAATGAAAGAGCTAAGCTATATGCAGAAGCCCTAGCAGACCACAGCAGTGCCCGAGAAAGCTGAGAAGGGAAAACAACAGACCACTGAGCACAGGGACATCAGACAGAGAAGAGATTGAAGGAAGGAATGCTACAACGGAGGCAACTAAATCGATTCAGGGGATGCAAAGGGAAATGAAGTCGGAGGATGAATGGGAGAGATCATTTTTTGTTTATGGTTTCTAGGAAACTGAAGGGGAAACTTATGAAGCAAGAAAACAGGAGAAGAAAAAAGCAATTGAAAGTATCATGATCATAGGAGAGGATGACAAGGCCCAGTTGACAAATTTTCTGAGAATAGGGGGGTTAGAAAAGGGAAAAAAAATAGCCAGTCAAAGTGATTTTCAAAGCATAATCGGCTCAAAAGGGGATCCTGCAGGAGAAATCATGACAATGGGACATACCAACATACCAGAGGGTGTACCTCAACCATGACAGAACAGAAAAAGAAAGGCAGAAATAGAAAGAGAGGGTACAATGATGCAAGGAAGAAAGGGAAGCAAAGACAGAGATGAGCAGGACTTATGAGGAAGAGCAAATACAATCTCCCTCAGAACCACCCACAGAAGGGTCTCAACCATGACAATCCAAATGCAACCAAACAATCTAACCCAAAACCCACACACCATACCTACTGCCCCCCACCCCATCATCACAAAATCCCCCCCCCCCACAGCAGAAGATCCATCAGGTCTCCCACTCCCCTAACCCCAATGTTCTCCCCAGACCACAGTTTTAGAAAAGAAGTTGAAGGTTTGGCATATGATAAGGAGGGAGGCCCAGCGACAGTACAAAAATAACACAGCATCGAAAATATAATCTAACCCGAAGCTGTTGTATAGCCACATCAGGAGGAAAACAACTGTCAAAGATCAGGAAATCAGGATGAAGAAGGAAGTGGGAAGCTCACAAGAAACAGCCAAGAAGTATGTGAAGAGCTCAACACAAGATTTAAAGAAGCATTTACCATAGAGACAGACAGGACTCCAGGAAGTCAGAATAAGGGGTACACCAACCAAGGATATACCAACGAGTGCTGGATGAAGTATACACAACCGACGAGAAGGTGAAGACGCTGCTAAGATGTTGGGACCAGACATCTCTCCATGGGTCCTTAGAGAGGGAGCAAAGATGCCATGTGTGCCATTAACAACAATCTTCAAAACATCCGTTGAAACTGGGCAACTACCTGAGGTTGGAAGAAGGCAATATTTTTTTTATTAACACATCGGCCATTTCCCACCAAGGCAGGGTGGCCCGAAAAAGAAAAACTTTCGTCATCATTCACTCCATCACTGTCTTGCCAGAGGCAAGACAGTGCAGACACTGTACTTCCCATCTCCAGAACTCCAGCCTGCCAGTTTTCCCGAATCCCTTCATAAATATTACCTTTCTCATACTCCAACAGCACACCAAGTCCTAAAAACCATTTGTCTCCATTCGCTCCTGTCTAACACACTCATGCATGATTGCTGGAAGTCGAAGCCCCTCGCACACAAAACCTTCTTTACCCCCTACCTTCAACCATTCCTAGGCCGACCTCTACCCCGCCTTCCCTCCACTACATATATATACACCCTGGAAGTCATTCTATTTTGTTCCACCCTCTCTACATGTCCGAACCACCTCAACAACGCCTCCTCAGCCCTCTGGATAATAGTTTTGGTAATCCCGCACTTTCTCTTAACTTCCTAAGTACAAATTTCCCACTGATCGAACCAAATATGATTAACAGTCCTCAAAGACTGCATGATCTCTACGGGTTTATCGCTACCCCATAAATTTTAAATGATAGTAGTAGTAGTAATTTAGTAACTTCGGTGTTAGTACTTTTATTCTATACCACCATATAAGTTCACTGTAGATGCCATAATTATTCGCCCCTTATTCCATCGATGGAAGGGTATTAGAGTGCTCATCACAGGTGGTAATGGAGGTCAGAAATCACTCGCACAGTAAAAAAGTGAAGCCATCAGGTAAATAGAAGTTTGCAGCTCTCATCTTCACTTAGAGACACTCTTCAGTAAATTTTGTGAGGCCGAGGCTGAGACTTCACTCTTGAAATCACAAATAATACATATAATAATACACGATAGCCCTTGATAAATTTAGTAGACAGTCCTCAGCATGCAGCCTCGGTGTGAACTTCCTAGTTCTATGCTATGTCTCTCTTTCTCCTTGAAAAATCATCTAGGTGTAACGTTACACAAATAATCCGCACTTAGGAAAATGAAACTTATGATGACTTTTCGGTCCGCCTTGTACCATTGACTAGTTAATGGTTCAAGTCGGACTGAAGCCTCGTCATAAGTTTCTGTCTTCTATGTGCGGGTTATTTATCTATTATTCCTGCCACAGCATTGTGCATTTTTATTCTTCTAAGTATACAATGTAGTGAATGAAGTGTAATGAGCACTTATCAATGCTCAATAATAACCAACATGGAGACAGAAACTCAGAAGACTGACTGATCCGTATATATCGACCCACTTCTGGGATCCTTGAATCCTCTTCAACATCTGTTGAAGAGGATTCGAAATATACAGCTCAATCAATCTTGTGAGTTTCTGTTCCATGTTGTTTTTATTGAGCATACAACGTAATTTTTCTAGTGTATGGATCTTAGCCGACATCTCTGTATACTTTAAGTTAGGTGTCCTTGGCCCTCTTCTCTTTCTCATTTACATAAACGACCTACCAAATGCATCGCAACTACTCAAACCCACACTATTTGCAAATGACACTACATACGTTTTCTCTCACCCGAGCCCAGTCATGCTAGCCAATACTGTAAATACCGAATTACAGAAAATATCTACCTGGATGAGTACTAACGAACTTACTCTCAACATTGACAAAACCTACTTCATACAGCTTGGAAACAGAACCATTGATGTCCCTCTTAACATAATGATAAACGGATCACCTATCACAAAGCTCACAGAGGGAAAATTCTTAGGAATCAACCTCGATAACAGACTCAAATTTCAAACACATATACAACACATTTCCAAGAAAATCACCAAGACCGTAGGCATACTAACGAAGATACGGTACTATGTTCCACAGTCAGCCCTCCTGGCCCTATATCACTCACTTATTTACCTCTATCTCACCTATGGAATTTGTGCATGGGGCTCAACAACAATAAACCATCTCAGACCACTAATTGCCCAACAAAAGGCTGCAGTCAGAATGATAATAAATTCCCACTACAGACAGCACACTCCACCAATATTCAAAACTCTAAACTTACTCACCGTACAAAACATTCATACTTATTATTGTACCTACTACATACATAGAACACTAAACTCTGATATAAACCCTTCCCTCAAACTTTTCCTTACCAACCTCAACAGAACACATGACCACAGCACGAGGCACAGATCACTCTTTGATGTTCCTCGTGTCCATCTCACACTATGTAAAAACACAATGCACATAAAATGCACAAAAATCTGCAATTAATTACCTGTGAATATAAAAGAAATTCTGTTTATCAATTCAAGACTCTTCTTAAAAACCACTTATTTACCCACAACTAAATAAATACTGATTAATTATATCTCATAAATGTATAACCTGTGACCCTATCAAACTATTTTTTTTTTGTAATTACATTATCTACAAATTTGTACAACTATAAAGCCTCTTATTTGAAATACTCATTTGCTTCATGTTGTAATTTGTTTACTATATTTTTACCACTGAATATATCATTGCTTAGTTAATCTTAAGTTACTTTTAAGCTGCCCACAATGCTCTGCATACAAGTGGCTTTTGGTATGTACACTCGACCACTGTATTTCTTTTGTACAACTATGTATCATGTCCAAATAATAATAAATAAATAAATAAACCAGAAATACCAATCTAACCTAACGTAAAAAAATAAACAATTGCATAATCATAAAGTGTGTTGTCTCGCTATATGTCTAGACAAACAGATAAGTAAAAATTAGTGGGTGTGAGTAGGACCTGCAGAGTGTAGGTGAGTAGACCTCTTGCAGTACTCCTGGTTTCTTATATTTTTTACCTAACAGCGGGAAGATAAATACAGAGAAGTAGCTGTATGATCCACGTGCGTAGAAAAGCAACATTATGGAGGAGTAAAAAATTTGTTTTATTTTTTAATGACCTTTAATTACATTTTAAAAGCAATGTAATCTTAATTAAGAAGGTTTGTTTGCTTTCGCTGCCTTGACCACGAGGAACTTTGGAGCGAAGATGTTGACGTTCTCCTTGATGAAGACAGGCACGAGGCCTCTGTCCTCAGTTACACTCACCAGGTCCTGCATCTCTTCTTCCGTGGTATGGCAGCTATTATCACCAGCATCTGTACAAGATTCCTCTACTGTACTGCTTCATTTACCTTCAATTAAAGATTTTATTTTTTTTGCAAACTGGCTTTTCTTTTTAATTTCTAGAATCGGTAAGAGATTGTAATAATGTTGGTAGAATTACCGAAAATATGTAAAGTAAAAGGACACAAGTGCAACTAATGTGACATTTTATTGTGGCAACGTTTCGCTCTCCAGGAGCTTTGTCAACCCGTTACAAACAGTACATGGACACAGAGGGTATATGTAGGCACAGAGTGAGGTGCAATACTAGAGGTAGTAGTAAGTAGTAGTAGTAGTAGTAGTAGTGACATAAGTTGTAGTAGTAGTAGTAATACAATATGGTAGAGCAATTAACTCGTACATGAGTAAAAGGATATAAAAGCTATTACTTGGGTAACATAAAAATAGGTTTCTTGCTAAGACTTCAGAGATGGTGAAGCTGCATTTGTTTTGTTTAATTGTATTCGAAACAGCGATTAGTGCTGACTCGAGGCACTTGCGCCTGCGGAAGTTAGTTTCTTTGATCACTAATTGGGCGTCCCTGAATTTCATGAGATGATTGGTGGAATTTCGGTGTTGTACACAGGCGTTGTTCAAGTTATCGTTCCTACATGCGTAAATGTGTTCATTGAGGCGGGTGTCGAGGCTTCTTGCTGTTTCACCTACATAAATCTTGTCGCAGCCTCCACAGGGTATAGTGTAAACCCCTGCATTGACTGGTTCGTGGTGCTTTGATTTTGTCCTGGTCAGATCCTTTATTGAAGTGCTGGAAGCGATGGCGACTCTGGTGTTAGCTTGTGAAAGTACTTTAGAAACGTTCAGTGCAACCTGGCTGTTGGGAAGAATTATAATTCTCCACGCACCAACAACAATCCTAACAAAGTTATAATTCTTCCCAACAGCCAGGTTGCACTGAACATTTCTAAAGTACTTTCACAAGCTAACACCAGAGTCGCTATCGCTTCCAGCACTTCAATAAAGGATCTGACCAGGACAAAATCAAAGCACCACGAACCAGTCAATGCAGGGGTTTACACTATACCCTGTGGAGGCTGCGACAAGATTTATGTAGGTGAAACAGCAAGAAGCCTCGACACCCGCCTCAATGAACACATTTACGCATGTAGGAACGATAACTTGAACAACGCCTGTGTACAACACCGAAATTCCACCAATCATCTCATGAAATTCAGGGACGCCCAATTAGTGATCAAAGAAACTAACTTCCGCAGGCGCAAGTGCCTCGAGTCAGCACTAATCGCTGTTTCGAATACAATTAAACAAAACAAATGCAGGTTCACCATCTCTGAAGTCTTAGCAAGAAACCTATTTTTATGTTACCCAAGTAATAGCTTTTATATCCTTTTACTCATGTACGAGTTAATTGCTCTACCATATTGTATTACTACTACTACTACAACTTATGTCACTACTACTACTACTACCTCTAGTATTGCATCTCACTCTGTGCCTACATATACCCTATGTGTCCATGTACTGTTTGTAATGGCTTGATAAAGCTCCTGGAGAGCGAAACGTTGCCACAATAAAATGTCACATTAGTTGCACTTGTGTCCTTTTACTTTACAATAGGTATGAGATGGCGTCAGATACCGACAAGTGTGAAATAAGACACAACCTTATCCTAGGATCTGTAATATCATACTCACCTTGAACCTGACAGACTTAGAGATGGTGTGAAGGATGTCAATCTCTCCACCGTGTGTGGAGATGATCATCATGTCGATGACATTGGTCTTCAGGGCAGCCAGAGCCATCGCCCCGGCATTGAAGCATTGCACCGGGGTCGTCCGGCCCAGCTCACGGTCCTTCCAGGCAAGAGACTCACTTAATTGTGGTTGCAGTGGTCGAGTCATAGCTCCTGACCCCACCTCTTCACTGGTCACCACTAGGTTCACTCTCTCCCTGCTTCGTGAGCTTTATCATACCTCTTCTTAAAGCTATACATGGTACCTCACTATCCAAACTATTCTACTTCCTGACAACTCTATGGCTGAAGAAATACTTCCTAACATCCCTATGGCTCATCTGAGTCTTCAACTTCCAATTGTAACTCCTTGTTGCTGTGTCCCATCTCTGCAACATCCTGTCTTTGTCCACCTTGTCGATTCCTGTCAGTATTTAATATGTCGTTATCATGTCGCACATGTCCTCCAGTGTGGTCAGGTCAAGTTCTCTTAACCTCTTCTCGTAGGACATGCCCCTTAACTCGGGACTGGTCTCGTTGCAAACCTCTGCACTTTCTCTAGTTTCCTGACGTGCTTGGCTAGGTGAGGGTTCGAAACTGGAGCTGCATACTACAATATGGGCCTAACGTACACAGTGTACAGAGTCCGGATCGACTCCTTACTGAGATGTCGGAATGATGTTCTTGGGATCGCTAGCCGCCCATTTGCTGCAGCAGTTATCTGGTTGTGTGTGCCTCAGGAGATATGCTCGGTATTATATATACTCCAAGATCCTTGTCCTTGAGTGACGTTTGTAGTCTTTGGTCCCTAGACTGTACTCTGTCTGCAGTCTTCTTTGCCCTTCGCCGATCTTCATGACTTTGCACTTGGTGAGGTTGAACTCCATGAGCCAGCTGGTGGACCAGGCTTGCAGCCTGTCCAGATCCCTCCGGAGTCCTGCCTTATCTTCCTCCAACTGAATTTTCCTCATTAACTTCACATCGTCTTCAGACAGGAGCACTTCTGAGTCTATTCCTTCAGTCATGTCATTCACATATACTAGAAACAGAATCGGTCCTAGGACTGACTCCTGTAGAACCCCGCTCATCACAGGCGCCCATTATGACACCTCATCACGTATCATGACTCGCTGATACCTTCCTGTCAGGTATTCTGTGATCCATTGCAGCACCTTCCTTGTTATACCTGCCTGGTCCTCCAGCTTTTGCTCTAGGCTCTTGTGTGAGAAACTTGTGTCAATCTACCAGCCTCTCTCTACTCCGATCTCTACTCCTCTCCTCTCTCTCCTCTCTCTCTCTCTCTCTCTCTCTCTCTCTCTCTCTCTCTCTCTCTCTCTTTTTACACAGGGTTTGACAAGGTTAAGGATCCCTAGCTTTATTGACAAGCTATTTACAGGTTAAGGATTCGTAACTTTATTGGCAAGCTATGAGCTGTTACCTACATCAGCTCATTTGAAAGCATTTTTTTTGTTATGAGACATACAACTAGGGAACAGGATGAAGTTGGAGCCATCTGCGGGCCAGCATTTTCATTTGATCAACTGACTTTATCTCGTTGACATCATTATGCTGTACGAATGTGTTCCATACTCGAGTCATCCTGGGTATATAGGATCTCAGATGGAGTGAAGTTCTGGAGAAGGGTACATCCAGAGTGAAGTTGCTGCTTTCTGCCCGTCTTGTGGCATAAAAGCTTGTTTCACGCTGTCCTCGAAGTGGATCCAAGTGTGGTACTTTGACAATATTGGCCTTGTACATAACAGTAAGGCCACCCACATCCCTCCTATGTTGAAGGCTCTGCTGAAATGACAGATCTATCCAGGATGGGTCCAGGCGAGAGATGAGACGTCTTGCTCTGTTCTCTACTCTGTCAAGCAATCGCAGATGAGAGGGAAGGGGGCAGGCAAACCAAGAAAGTGGAGCATACTCAAGCTGCGAGCGTACTTGTGCCTCGTACAGAATCTTGCAACCCCTACTGTCAAGTAGATGCGAGATACGGCGAAATACTGTAAGTTTCCTGGCTGCCTTGTTTGCAAGATTTACAACATGGTTCTTCATGGTTAGTTTGGAGTCAAATTTCACCCCAAGGATATCAACTTCTTCTCCAGGTGCCAACACCCTCCCATTCATCCTTACTACTGCACCAGCATTACCATCATGGTGCCTAGAGACGATCATCATTTGCGTTTTCTCAGGTGCAAATGTTACTTGCCATCTGTTTCCCAAAGCTGATATAGCTCTCAGCTGGTGATTGATGTAGCTTAGAGCAGCTGGCATTTCTTCTCTTGGATAAGTGAATGTCAGTGTGCAGTCGTCTGCACATACATGTGATTCTGGGATGAGATGAAGAAGGTCGTTGAAGTAGACATTCCATAACAATGGTCCCAGCACGCTTCCTTGTGGAACACTTGCCCCAATAGGATGTCTTGCTGATTCCGTTCCTTTGAGAACTACACTTAGAGATCTACCATGAAGGTAATCACTGAGGAGACATAGCGTAGAGCCTGCAATACCCAGTGCTTGAAGTTTTGCTAAGAGGCCCTGGTGCCACACCCGGTCGAAAGCGCCAGCAATGTCCAGTGCTACCACACAGCTGACTTTGGATTCATCCAGTGACTGGTGCCACTTAGTGGAGAGGTTTAACAACAGACCAGCAGCAGAGTAAACCTTTTCCCGAAGCCATATTGACGATCACAAAGTAGTGAGTGATAGTCAAAAAACTCTGTCATTTGTCTTGAGATTATTGTCTCAAGGATCTTACTAGTGATTGACAGGAGTGACACTGGTCTGTAGTTGCTGATTTCTGCTCTGCTCTTCTTTTTGTGAACAGGGACTACATTTACCTCTTTCCATAGAGAGGGCCATTTACACTGTACTAGGCAGTGCTGAAAGATGCGAGTTAGAGGTGCTGCTAGCTGGTCTGCACATCTTCTCAGCAATCTTGGGCTCAACTTGTCTGGGCCTACAGCCTTTTCTTGGTCAAGCGATTTAAGAAGGAAATGCACCTCCTCCTGCCTTATTGTCACCACTGACAGTTTTGACACAGTTCTTGCAGCTAGCCAAGGAGGGTCCCTTGCTGGATCAGGAACTTGCATTTTGGTAGCAAAGTGTTCAGCAAAGAGGTTCGCCTTCTCTTGACTACTAGTAGAGGTGGTCCCATTCTGTCGATTTAGAGGTGGAATGAGTTCATCAGGCAGATAACCTTGTCTGTCCTTGACCAGGGACCACCAGGTTTTGGAACCTACCCTACCTGATGCTAGCTTTCTTTTTGTGTCCACCTCCCATTTAGCAATGGCCCACTTTTGAACGTCACCCATATGCCTACAGGCTTGCCTGTGCAAGTTCCTGTTATTGGTGGTAGGATGTCTCTTATACCTTCGCCATGCTTTGTACTTAGCAGTAGCAGCCTCTCTACAACGAAAGCCAAACCAAGGCTGATCCGTAGGCTTCATCACATATTGCCGGTGAGGAATGTGTTCTTGTTGTAGATTAAGGATGTGTCCAGTGAAGGCTTTCACTTGGTTGTCAACATCCCTTTGGAGAAGAACATTCCAATCGGTGGTGGCGAGCTCAGAGCAAAGGGCTGGCCAATTACCTCTTTCCCATAGCCAGGTTGTGCGTGTGGACTCCTCACCTCGTTCTGTTGGGATCTTAAGTGTCGTAAAAACAGCCTTGTGGTTAGACGATCCAACATAGCCGAGGGGTTGACAAGTGACTATGCCTTCTGCCAGATCACTCACTACTGGGTCAAGGGAGGAGCCAGAGATGTGAGTAGGGAAATCAACAAAGTTTCTCATGTCAAACACTGCAAGAAGGTCATCAAAGTCCCTCTGTATAAGGTGCTGATTGAGGTCACCAACAATTATGATATGTTGACAGTTGTGTTGTAGCAGAAGGGAGTCAATATTTTCCATTAGGAAGTTGATGGGATCTGCATGTTGCCACTGAGGTCTGTACATTGCACATGCTAGTACAGAGGTACTAGTGTTTATGCAGAGCTTGAAGAACATCATTTCAAGATGTGTAGGGGTGGCAACATCAATGTGCTGGGCATGAACACTTTTAGAGAAGCACACAGCAACACCTCCTCCTTGCCCTTGCCTGTCTCTTCTCATCCATGAGGTGTAGCCAGCAATTCTTGCAAAATTTTCTGGAGTCCTGTCATCCAAAAATGTTTCAACAACAGCTATCATGTCGGGACGTCGAGTGTTCACAAAACTGTGTATGAGTTCTCCAACATTAGTAATGAAACCTCTAATGTTGGCCGACAGGATGCTGATAGATTGGCTCCTCATGATGATGTGGTCAGCTTGAGGTGGTGGGTGTGTAGGGCATGTAAGGTGCCTGCCCTTGAGAGAGGTAGGGTTCTGAGGCAGCTGCAGGGATGTAGGTCTGTGGTCTTGTATAAGGCACAATACCACCTCTCTCTCTCTCTCTCTCTCTCTCTCTCTCTCTCTCTCTCTCTCTCTCTCTCTCTCTCTCTCTCTCTCTCTCTCTCTCTCTCTGTCTTCTCTTCTCTCTTCTAATCTGGTCTGTTGACTCTCTCTCCTCTCTATCCTCTGTCTTCATCTCTACTCATCTCTCTTCTCTCTCATCCTCGTCTCATCACTCTTCTCTCTTCTCTCCTCTCTCTGTCTACTGCTGTCACCTTGTCATAGAAGCTAAGGTTGTGATAGATTCCCGATCTCTGATCCTCTGGTTGTCATTGATAAAGCTCATTCCTTTCTAATTTGTCCTCCTCTCTGATACTGTATCCCATGACTCTGCATATGTCAGTGTGACATGGTTCTGTAGTGTAAGCTACAGCCTGTCCCTTTTCTAAAAATGACTACATTTTCTCATACCTCAGGTAGTCGCCTGTTTCAATAGATGTGTTGAAGATCTTGTTGTGGCGCACAGGCTCTGTCCCTCTCTCAGGCCCCACGGAGAGATGTTATCCGGCCCAATCGCCTTTGAGATATCTAGTTCGCTTAGCAGCCTCTTAACCTCCTCTTCTGTTGCATGTATGGTGTCCAGTGCTTGTTGGTGTATCCCACCTCTCCGTCTTTCTGGAGTCCTTTCCGTTTCCACTGTAAATACTTCTTAGAATCTCATGATGGTCTCCTTACAGGCTTCAAGCTCGTTTCACGTAAACTCCCCTCCCTCCTTCTGCAGCCTGTTTACTGGTCTTTGACTGTTGTTTTCTTCTTGATGTTACTGTACAGTAGCTTCGGGTCAGACTTGGCTTTCACTGCTATGTCATTTTCATTTTGTCATTGGGCCTCCCTCCTTACCTGTGCATATTCATTTCTTGCTCTTCGACTACTCTCCTTATTCTTCTGGGTCCTTTGCCTTCATTACTTCTTCCATTCTATGGCGCACTTCGTTTTTGCCTCTCTACACCTTTGGGTGTACCAAGGGCTCGTCCTGGCCTTCTCATTATGTCTGTTGTGCTTGGGTACAAACCTCTCCTCCGCTTCCTTGCATACTGTTGTCACATATTCCATCATACTATTTACTGATTTTCCTGCTAGTTTTCTGTCCCACTGAACCTCGTGTAGGAACTTCCTCATCATGTGTAGTCCTCTCTCTTGTAGTTTGGCTTCATTCGTCTTACCCTTCCTGCCTCCCTCTCCACTTGTAACTCTACTATGTATTCGAAGCTTAGAACCACATGCTCACTAGCTCCGAGGGGCCTTTCATATGTGATGTCCTCAATATCTGCACTACTCAAGGTAAATATTAGGTCCAGTCTTGTTGATTCATCCTCTCCCGTCCCTCTGGTAGGTTTTCCAGTACCACCTCTAACATCTTAGCCCTACATGGTTCTAGGCCTCCATGTGTCTCCAGGTTTTCCCAGTCTATTTCTTTGTGAATGAAGTCACCCACAACAAGCAGCTTTGCCCTGCCCACATGGACCCTTCTGGCGACATCAGCCAGTGTGTCAACCATCTCTGTTACTCTAATCATATTCTTGTCTTGGCCTCCTGCTATTCTGTGGGTTATACATAACTGTAATCACCACCTTGGGACTTCCGGTGTGAAGTGTTCTTGCTTCTCCTGTCTCTTCTCTGCAGCTCCTCAAAATTCCATTGGTTTTTGATGAGCAATGCCACTCCTCCACCGCTTCCTCCCTGTTTCCTATCTCTTTCCTCAGGATCTGATATTCAGATGGAAAGATGGCATTTGTTATCATTCCTGAGAATTTGGTTTCTGTGAAGGCTATGATGTTTGGTGATGCCTCTGTGATTCTTTCGTGCCACTCATCTCACTTATTCGTTATTCCATCAGCATTGTGTACGTTACCTTCAGTTTCCTCTCCAACACTATTCTGAGGGGGAGGGGGACCTGGTAGGGTGCTATGGGATTCTACTATGTATTGAGGGGCGGGGAGTGTGTGGGTGGTGTGTGCTGGGATAATGTGTTTTGCTGCTGGGTTCTGAGGGAGTTTTTTTTTTTTTGTTTTTTTTTTTCACTCTGCTCCACTTGACTCTGGTTGTTCTCTACTGACTCTAGCCTTGTCTCTCATTCTTGCCCTCGTTTTTGTGTTCTCTCAGTTGTTATCGTTCTGTCTCGGTCTAGGAACACCCTATGGTATGTTGTTGATTCCTTTAGCCATGGTTTCTCCTGCAGGATCCTATCCTATACCGTTTCTATCTTGAAAATCAGTTCGACTGGCCGATTTTACTCCCGTATTCCCTGAAAATTTATTAGCTCAGACATGTCCTCCTCTCCTGTTTGTTTGATGATATTTTCAATCTCTTGTGGGTAAAGACTGATGTCATTTGACTGGGCTTACGGTGTCATATTAAGTCATTTAGCTCAGATTTTGAGATTTTTTTCGGATTTTTAATCCGGAGGATAGTCACCCAGGATAAAGCAAAAGTCTGCATGTCACGACAGACTGTCTGTCTTATTTCCATTGGGTTATGTAATCTTCTCCCCCAGGATGCGACTCACAACAGTCGACTAACACTCTGCAACGTGCTTACTGCTAGGTGAACAGGGGCAACAGGTGCAAGGAAATATGCCCAATATTTTACTCATGTTGGGGAACGATCCGCGGTCCCTTATCATGTGAGCTGAGGACTCTGTCATCTGAGCCCAGGACACCCACGGTGCTCCTGAGTAAGAGGTCATTCTACTTGGCAAGATGAGTCATATTAGGGGTCATCTGAGTAAGAGAGGTCATATTAGGGGTCATCTGAGTAAGAGACGTCATAAATCTGACACATGTGCAACACATGAGTATCTACGTTTTAAAGACGTTTCACAAATAAGTGTTTTTTTTTCAATTAATTTCAAAGATATTAAAAGACGAGGTTATCATTCACTGTCTGAAAGGTTATAAATTGACTTCGACCAGCTGCCATATTGGACAGACAAGTGTGTGTGGCTAGTCGAATTTAACTCCAAGAAATGCAAGGTTTTGTAAATTGTGAAAAAAAGGTAATAAGACTGGGAACTGAGTACTGACCTGTAAAACAAAGACTGTAAAACTCACTCAAAGCGAAAGACCTGATGAGGGTGAGAATATTGTAGAGTACATCGCCAGTAGCACTAAGGACTTGATATGATTGACAGGAAAACAGGTAAATAAGGGCATGGCTAAAAATTAAAGACATAGATGTGTTACAGGAATGTCAGGAAGTATTTCTTCAGCCACATGGTGGTCAGGAAGTAGTATTACTTGGACGAAAAAAATTAGTGGAGGCAGGATTATTATAGTCTTACTAATAGGTATAAAAGTGTCCAGGTGGAGTCTCAGCCTTCAGATGAGACTCCTCCCTTGAAATCACAAAATACATAATAATACACGACAGCCCTTAATAAAGTAGAAAATTCTAAGCAGACAACCTCGATGCGAACTTCTAAATTTTATACTATCTGTAGTTCACGTGTACTCCCTCTGTTTCTCTCTCTCTCTCTCTCTCTGTCTCTCCCTCTCTCTCTCTGTTTCTCCCTCTCTCTCTCTCTCTCTCTCTCTCTCTCTCTCTTTTTTTTCTCTCTCTCTCTCTCTCTCTCTCTCTCTCTCTCTCTCTCTCTCTCTCTCTCTCTCTCTCTCTCTCCTCTCTCTCTCCTCTCTCTCTCTCTTTCTCCCTCTCTCTCTCACCTCTGCCCCCCCACACACACAGAGACTTACCTCCATGGAGACATACTGAAGGAGTTTATTATTGCCCCCCTGGAGTCTGTACAGGAGCTCTGGGAGATTTTTGGGAGTGTCTCTGATCCATAATTGATTCTGGAAGGAAAGAAAATCAGTCAAATATATTTCCAACATTCAAAAGAATACTCAATTTCTTCCAAAAGTAGATTTAAGTGTTACACAACCAGCAGTGCTTCGGCCCATAGTGTCAGCATAGTTGCTGATCCTCCTTACATGTGTTTATATAGAAGATCCTTAGGTCTAGTGACTGTATGACGTCACGGGATGCGCATAAGATAGTGGGACGCTCTGCCTCGCTCTCACTCCGTGCTTAGACATACAGCAAGCAGGCAGGCTGGGCCCTTCCCTTACCACAGTCTGACAATATAGTGTTACCATCCACAAGTGTGTTTATCTTCAACCATCATATCTCCTACCGAACCCCCACGATAAATTGGCGACAGCGGAGGGCCTGCAATTCTGACGATTACAGCGATTTCTGGAGATAAATTTCTACTGAGCCGGTCGCCATCCTGTGACGCTAGGCCTGCCGAGAAGGGTAATGCTCGACCTACCTCAAGCCACTACCCGACCAAGCGTCTACCAGCCTCTACATTATTCACTGGTCAGTCTCCTTGTATAAGTGTTTATCTGCTTATTTGCATCATTCCCTAGGGGTTGACCTAAGTTTGCAAAGTAAGCCAAACCAGAACGACAGTCTGTGGTGGGGGAGTCAGACAAAGTCCAGTCCAGCCTAGCCTTACACCATCCAGCCTTGCCTGCCAAGCCAGCTTTCCACCCCTGCTGTGCTCATTGTTAGAAGTTATCAAACCATTCTGTGTGAATGGTTAAGCCAAGCCAGCCAGCAACTAACCCAGGTGACTAACCCAGTACTCAAGCAAGCCACGTGGATACAGTCTTCCTCATCGTTTTGTGCTTCAAGTTCTAGCCATTCTGAGTGTTTTATCATCCCTGTGGTGTTGTGGTATTTTGTGGGTTTGTTTTAAGCCAGCCCGGCTTAGTATATTTTCATGCCTAGTGCGGGTGTCCCCAGTGAAGCTTACGCCGTTCATCCCATAGGCCCAGTCACCACGCGGTGTCTCACCGTGCCACCTCACTCACTCACTACCACTGTTTTGTACCCTTATTACGGGTTCTAGCACCATATTTTAAGGACCACATAGGGGATCAAGAGCCAGAGTGTGTTTTTTCATCAGTAGCGCCATCGTTAAAAGCCTCTTGTGTGGGTCCATCGTCGATTTAAGCGCAAATTCTCCGATCACGTGTGGAGTAGCAGCGAACGCAGTCAGCCACCAGTCTCCTCTACCCTTCACCACCATCTACCTAATTTTTCACCAACGTCGCTACAGTGATAATATTTTTCATAGAGACATTTGCGAGTGTTGAGACATTTCTTTATTGTGTTTCCAGTGATTTCTTAGTGACATTCAGTGACTCGATTAGACTCAGTGTTTATTATATACTGTTTGCAATATTTTTTCTCTTCTTAATTCAGTGTTAATTTTCATGCATTATTTTATGTCTGTTGTGTTGTGTTCTTTTTTTTATATATATACTTGAAGTAAGTACCTTAGTGTTTTTTCCTTGTTGTGTGCAACATATAAGCAGTATAGAACTTGTGTTTACATTTCACAATTACCTTGTGTTCACAGTATTGCAGTGAAGTAATTTAGTAATTTATTACCTTATATCCTGCATCACAACTCAGTGTAGTCTGTTATACTTTTTTTCTCCCAGCATTTGTGCATTTTTCGCCATTTTAATTTTTCTCTGTGTGTTGAACATTCTTATGTTAATTCTTTTCATTTAACCAGTGTCTAATTTGTCTTATCTCCACAGACAATGGTGCCATTGTTTTGTTCAAGCAAGACAATTATTTTCCAAAATTTTTCATACCTCAAGTTTCATATTGATGTGTTTATATTGATGTGTTGTGTTCTGCATCACTGTAAGTGTTCAAACCTTTTTGTTCTGTGTTTTTGCATCTATTATTTTTTGTTTCATTGAACAAATTCACTCTTAGTGCAATTTTTTAAGTTCTTCTTTTAAAGTAAATCATTCTTTTGTTTGTTCAGTAAGTGTTGCTTAAGCTGCAATTAAGAGTTAAAGTGTTCACTCAGTTCATTCCTTGATGATATATTTTTTTTATTCTTGTAAACTGTATTTTCTTGTGTAATTTTTTTTTATCATTGCATCATTGACTCATTTTGCAATAATTCTTGTGCAAACATTGTGTTGCCATTTAAAATTTTTCTTGCAGAAATTTTAAGTAGTATTGTGCAATACTTTTGATTAGCAATTGTTATTTGCACTATTGCTACAGTTTATTTCAGTGCAGTTTCATAAGCTCTTTTCTGTGCATAATATTTTATTCTTTGTGTGCCATTTTCTTTTCTTTTTAGTGAATTGTTTCCCAGTTTGTTTTAATTTTGCACAAGCTTTATTGAGTCCATTTTAACATTTTTGATTGATGAGTTAATTACCTTTGTAAATTGTGAGTTCATTACCTTTGTAAATTGTGAGTTCATTACCTCTGTAACTTGCTCAGCTATCAAAACTTTGGAGTCCAGTCCCTGGACCAATTATGTACCTCTGTAATCTTTTGACTACCGCCCACAGGATGGGTATGGGGTGCATAATAAACATATTAAACTAACTTCATCATTTTATTGTTGAATTTCCTTATTGCATTGAGAGTAAAGACAACTCACTGTGCCATTAATTCAATTTAAAGTAAATTTGAGTAAATTTGATTTAAGTAAAGTAATTTCTCTTGATTTACAAAGTGTTGCTTATTCAGTTGAGTATTTTCTTTTGTGAGTGTGAGTTTCCTTGCTTACAGTGTGACCTGTCAATTTTTATTTACTTATGCAGAATAGATAAGTAATTTCTTCCCGTTTAAGCTTACTGTGTCATATAATCTCTTTATTTTTCTTGCCTTATGTCCTTGAGTAAGTTCCCTGAGAAGATGTCCCAGTCACTTTTGAATGTTCACTTGGTGTGTCATGCCAGTCAAAGTCAATATGAATCAGTCCACAGTACCAGTATTCCCTTACTGACTGAAAGACAGTACCTAGCTAGACAATGTGTTTGTTCTCACAGCTTGTATCTGAGATTTGTTAAAGTGCTGCAAAATGTGAAGTTCAGATTAAGTTCCTATAGATTCGTTCATTACTTATTAACGTAGCCGCGCGGTCAGGCACTAGTAATACTGTCACTCCTGTCTGGACTCCAGCCACAATATCATGCACGCAGGATAGTGCACAGTTACCTTGGGTTTCAGAGGAACCTCAGACAACCCTGGGTGCTGAGACTACTATCCTTGCGATGGCGACTTGTTCAAGTACTCGTTCCTTCCCAGGGGACGCTTTGAGAATAACTTTACTTGCAATGAGTTATGCCATCTCTTGCTGATGCCACAAGCCGTTGCAGAAAGACATTTCTGTGGCTAGTGTGCTCACTTGAGTGTGTTGTTGTCCCTTGTGTTCCAGATGGTGATCCCATCCTCGTTGACAGTAATCCGTGCATTGTAAAAAGTTCTTTCTCGAGTAACTTTCACATGTTGTTAACGTTTGTAAGTGTAGTTTCTTTACAGTTGATACCTCGTGTCACTGTGTGCGACTCAGACTGAATATCTGTATTGTTGACCATGTCCATTTATTTTCCCCTGTGCTTGCAGTGAGAGATAGTAGATTCGTTCTCCCTTGTTCATATTGCGTGTTACAGCGCTATTTTTTTCAACCGGGGAGAGTCATCCACTCCACTGAGTTTGTTCATTCCGCCAGTAAGAAAGAACCGATCCCTTGTGTTCTGGTGTGATTCGATTCCTGCTTCAGGAAGATCTTATTCTGACTGTGAAGCCACCAGCCCCCATTAGTGACTTTGTAATGAGCCAAGAATTACTGTATCGAATAGTCGAGTTGAGTACTCCTAGCAGAAGAGTTAGTAATTCCACAGTCACTAGTGAATGTAGCTGTATCTTTTGTAGATACTTGTTCAGATCGTCCGTAGCTGTATCTTTTGTAGATACTCGTTCAGATCGTCCTCAGTCAAGGCATGTGTTAGCCATCGCAGAAGAATTTGATCCATCCAAAGATGATAACCATTCTGCATATGTAAACCTTACCCTCACAGAATTGGGTTTAAATGTAAACAGCCCGTATAATTAGATGTCCGAGATGAATGAAATTATCAACTGTGTGTTTTGTTATTAGCTGATCAGTTTGTCAGAAATTTTTGTGTTCACGTTCCCTCCGAATTCTGAGAATTTAGCAATACTGATCTGTGTGCACCAGAGTTTGCTGTTAATTACTTTCACTTTGTAAATATATTTATTCTTCCTCAGAATCTGTAGAGTGCATGAATACAGATCGATCGATCAATTCCATCCCATATTATACCATGATTTGTTCTTATAATTTGTAATGCATTACGTTAAAACTCATTATGTTAACAACCATTATGTTAAAACTCATGATGTTAACATCCATTATGATACCATCCATTAGTTCTAAGTTACATATGAATTTGTTATTGTATAGAATCAGCCCAGAACCACCTGCCTGTTCGGCCTATAGCATAGTAGTGTATGTCAAGACGACATACGTAACATGACCGAGCTGTTAGCATAGTTGCTGATCCTCCTTACATGTGTTTATATAGAAGATCCTTAGGTCTAGTGACTGTATGATGTCACAGGATGCGCATGAGTTAGTGGGACACTCTGCCTCGCTCTCACTCCGTGCTTAGACATACAGCAAGCAGGCAGGCTAGGCCCTTCCCTTACCACAGTCTGACAATATAGTGTTACCATCCACAAGTGTGTTTATCTTCAACCATCATATCTCCTACCAAACCCCCACGACAATAGCTGAGGAGTGTACCTGGAGTATACCTGGAGTATACCTGGAGTATACCTGGAGTATGCCTGGAGTATGTCTGGAGTATACCTGGAGTATATCTGGAGTATACCTGGAGTATGTCTGGAGTATGCCTGGAGTATGCCTATGTACAGATAAAACACAGACAATGTACAGATCAAACAGAAGGTTTATCATGGTAACCCAAGATCGCCT